TAAAATTGCCTAACAACGTGTTTCTCAGAACACATCCCTGTTTTTTTGTTTGTTTGTTTGTTTTTGTTTTTTGAGACGGAGTCTCACTCAGCCACCATCAATAGAGTGCTGTAGCATCTTAGCTCACAGCAACCTCAAACTCTTGGGTTCCAGTGATTCTCTTGCCTCAGCCTCCCAAGTAGCTGGCACTATAGGCGCCACCACAATGCTCACCTATTTTTTTAGAGAAAAGTTCTCACTCTGGCTCAGGCTGGTCTCGAACTCGTAAGATCAGGCAATCCACCCATGTTGGCCTCCCAAGTGCTGGGATTATAGGCATGAGCCACTGCACCCTGCCCACATCCCTGTTGTTAAGTGACACATGACGGTACCTCACCACTGTGCCTAGCACACTGCCTGAACCAGTGTAGCAGCTCCAACTCCAAAATGTGAAGAAGAGTCCACCTTCCTTAGCCATTCCTTAATGTATTCTTTTATTTAGCCCGTATTTGCAGTAGGGTGGGATGAGTGTATAGTTACCAAGTCAAGACAGGAACCAAGGCCCCAGCTTCCACACAGGAGCCCATTATAGGCAGCTGAAGTTAATCTCAGAGGGCTTCCTGCAGGAGGTTGACTTCTGCAGTAAGGAAGGAGCTGGAATGGATGCCCATTCCACTTCCAAAGGAAGTCCTCAAGTATCAGATGTGATACACATCAGCAAGGCACACTACCACAGTGTAACAACAATGACATTAACAGTGTATTCTTCTACACCAACCAGACTTGTTGCTTCCCCAAGCACCTTCTTGTGTATTATCCTCTTGGGTCCTAACAAATGATATTTTAATCCACATGAACAATGAATGCCAGTTTCCCTCCTTCCTCCCACTCCCTCTCTTAAAGCCCTATAGGTATAGGTACAACCCACAGGGCTGTATGGGGCAAATGTCCCACTTATTTTATAAGTAAACTGCTCCTCAGAAAGGTCAAGTGAGTGACCTTGGGTTAGAGTCTCTGGTTAGATTCTCTGCCTTGTACTTTCCTTTAGATCCTGACTTTTGTACCTCTGTCTCAAGTCCCTTAGTTAATGTGTGGACAGTTAAGCACTACACCAACTCCCTTCTAAAACAGGCCTCCTATCAGGCTGGGCTCCCTGTAGCTATACCCTAGGGTATAGCACTGTTCTAAGGTCTACCAGATGGAATCCCTATTACTGAGACCAGGAATTGAGCCCAGAGATCTGGCACCCAGTGAAGTAGAAGTGACAGCAGAAAGCTTGTTGGTATATGGAATCACGTAATCCTAAATTCAGTCTCAGCCTCACCATTTACCAGCTAGCAACTGGTCCTCTCTGAGCTTCAGTATCTTCACCTGTAAAACTGTGTCAGTGACATCCTTCCTACTGACCAGTTGCAAGGCTTAAATCAAATGACCTGTAGAGGGCTGTCATCTCAGGGCTCCCATGCCCTGCCTACCTGTGGCTAGAGGTAACTGTGCCATCACACTGGCGGGTGGGTTGGTGGTGAGGCATCATACCAAGAAGGAGAGCAGGTCACCTGGGAATGACCTGAGAAGGGGGCTCATGTACTCTTTCTAGGTTTATAAACGGTAGTGGGAAGAACTCAGAAATTCTCCCTCCTGTCCCTCTGTGTGAGTGTGGGTATGGATGCACACACAGTCATAAACTTCTTTTGAATGACTCTAGTCTCTGGTCACTCACTGTGGCAATCACTACAGCCCTTCCTTCTGCTGGAGGCAAGGCCTGACTCAAGCGGGAAACCTAACCTAAGGTGAAGGGAAGGGTCTTTGGGGGTTTTCACTCTGCCGCAGTGAAATAATCAAGGGACACTCTAACTGCTCTTATGTGGCCAAGCTCACTGTGATTAAACATGAGCTTAACCCAGCAGTTAAGCCAGATGGCTGTGCTCTCTTAATAACTTAGTCCTTAGTACCCTGTGAAGTAGCTTCACTCTCCTGCCTGCAAATAGGGAAACTACAGCTCAAAAGGTTTCAACAACTTGTTCAAGTTCACACAGTTACAAGAGTTGGTGCTGGGAATTGAACCTAAAGTTTTTCTCTTGCACAGCATTGCCAAACCAAAGTACCAACCGAGATAATTTTCAGGGTGGGAGCCCTGAAAAGCCCCTAAACGACAGTTACAGTTCCTTCTTTTTCCTCCTTCTTTAGTTAACATCTTTTTTGTTATTGTTCATACATAGCTCAGACTTTGAAAAGGAGGGAGACGGAGGATGACATACTTGAGGCCAAATCAAGAGATAGTAACAGAGGTCAGGGGAAGATCCCAAAAAGGGAAATGAAATGCAAGAGCTGCTCATTCCACCCTCACAGTGTGGGTGGTGGTGAAGGGTACACGTCCTGCAGTCACAAGACCTGATTCACGGCCTGAAGAGACCACTTATTGGCCTTGGGCAGGTTACTTCACTTCTCCCTGCCTTGGTTTCCTTTTGTATGACTCTATCTTCTAGAGATACAAGGATTAAATGTTAGAGGTGCTTAGCACAGTGTCTGACACATGATAAGCATGTGCCGCCCATTACAACCATTATTAATTCTCCCTCAAGGCTCTTCTCTGTCCACATCTTCTGCTTTAACAAAGAAGGGCCAAGAAAATACACAGACACGATCGAATGGAGCTGCCTGTTGGACTTCAGCTGACATGAGACCCCAGTGTGCCAAGTAGGAGAAACAACCCCTAGGTGCTGGCCAGGAGAAGCTTCTGGAATATAGGGCAGGGTCGTGACAGACAATTTGGTGAAGGAATGGGATCAGCTGAGACCTCAAGGAAAGTAAGAGATGGGCATTCAGGGAAGCAGAGGGAATGGATCTGGTAACTGGACACAAAGAGAAATAGCCAGAAGTTCAGCTAAAGGCTAGGGGCCATGAGGAGAGTTTTACAGGAAATCCAGGTGGAGAAACCATCATTCACTAAGTTTCTGTTGGTAACAGAAACCCTAAATTGTAGTTAACAATTTAACCTTTGCCACACCCTGACAGATACCCTGATTTTTCAGATGAGAGCACTGATGCCCAGGGAAGTGAATTAAATTTACCTGGTAACTGGCAGAGATTTAAGTCTGGGTCTGGCTGCCTCTAAAACACCCAAGCCATGCTCTGACTGGGCGATGAGAGCCTAGATTCAATGATAGCCTAAACCAAACCAGCCCTGCCTTCTAGTCATCATCCTCAGAGCTCCCTGAGGTCTCTGCCCTCCCAGACCTCCCCCTGCAGCTCGGGGTAGGCCCCAGGGGGGCCTTCAACCACACTGTATAGACTTCCAAAATGAAGCCAGAATCTCTCGGAGCCCAGCCCTTACAGGCTCTCAGGACTTCTTTTATGAGGTACAGGCGTAGATAGGAGGCTTGCCCCAGCAGGTAGGGTCCAGCAGCACTTTTCCCACGCTACAGCCCCTCTGAATCCAGAGTTCCACATCTACTGCAGTCTCCAGGAACCACTATTTGGTATGCCTGTCTAAAAGAACTAGCTTCTTATGTGGCTCCCAAAAGCCACCCTGGACTTTCTGAAATCCCTGTCTAAGCAGAGGGCAGGATAGGTCTCCCACACACATTCTCCCAGAATCAAAGGGCAACTTTGTCTGTGCACCCCAGGAAGCTGTGAGCCAGCTGGCTTCATGAGTTCTGGGAGGGCCCTTCCCAAGGGCAGGTGTCCTCCAGCCTTCCCTGCCTGGGCCCCTGCAGGGAGGGAGTGAAGAGGACCAGCCCTGCGATTCTGCCCGTTCCTGCAGCTCTCCCTGGTGGGGGCGAACACAGCCCAAGTTTCTGCCACTGCTGACTGCACTTGCTGCATTTCCCTACGAACCCGAGTCTTTGCTGGGTAATGGGGAGGTGAGAAACAGCTGGAGGAGGGGCGCGCCGGCTGGAGAGGTAGCAAAGAGGTCTGCAGGTCCTATCTGGCAGCATAATAATAGCAACACATCTCCCACGAGGCTGGATCCCTCTTTCCTCTGGCCTGGGATAGGCATTATTGATTATTTCCTCCTTGCCTACTTCCTTACATTGGCAGTAGCCTCTCAAGAGCGCTCCTCAATTCCCCCGCCACCCCTCCATCTCTTGGATCTGGGCAGCACCCAGCTGAGCTCTCCCCAAGGTCCTGGTTAGTAAGCTGGGCTCTGCCAATGTTTTCTTCGTGAGGTGGGGGCCGAGGCCCAGGGACCCAAGTAGGTGACAATCTCGGCGGCAGCGGCGGCGGCGGGCGCTGTGCGGTGCAGGCTCTGGCCCCCGCCGGCCCCTTTAATTCGAGTTCGCTGTCGGGCCAGGTGCGGCGCTGCGTGGCGCGGTGCGGCTGCGGGCGGCGGCCGGGCGCCCCGTACGCGCCGCCCGCGGGACTGCAGAACCGGCTCCCGGCTGGCCGCCCGCACCCCGCCGCCGCCCGCTGCCGGGGTTCTGCTGGCGCTGGCCGTACCCCAGGAACATGGAGACTCCAGGCGCCCATCTGGAAGGGTAAATCGGTGTTGGGCGTTGGGCTGCGCGTGCTGCCTCCCCTGCCCAGCTGCAGCGCCCGGAGGAGCTGCGGGGCACCTGGCAGCGCAGCCGGCAGCGGGGCGGGCTCGGGCTGAGTCCCGGGCGGGCGAGCCTATGAGGACCACTGCCTTCTGCTCCAAGGGTCCCAGGCAGGGGTGGGCGAGGGGGGCTGGCACTTTGCAGAAAAGGAGTGCACAGAATGGGCTTGGGACCGTCTAGGGTGTGCGGGGCGTAGGGCACAGAGAGGAGCTGGTGGATGGTGGGAAGTGCAGCTGACAGCATAACCGTGTCTGGTAAATAGAGCTGGTTGGTAAGTCCCGAGTCACTTGGGACGAGTGAACTGCATTCGCCTCTCCGGCACGGAATGAAAAACAGTGTTGCTGCAGAGAAGGGCTTTTCTCCTTCGCTGGGGCCGTGGGCTGTTCGGAGCCCCCGCGCTTAGCAGGCAGCTGAGATCTGGGGCAGCAGCCTACTCCCCACCCCCAGGGTTCAGGCTCCAGTGTTTACCGGTGGAGATGGAAACTAGGTGGTCCCTTGGCTGGACCCCGGAGGCAGAAGAACCTGGCTGAGCTCGGCCCGCAGCGGGTGCTGACCACACCGGCCAGGAGGGGGTTAAGGTGGCGCTAGCGGCCTCGGCCAGTTGGAGGGTCTGGTTCTCAGCGCAGAACCCAGAGCGGGGAGCGCGCCCGGCACAATCCTGAATAGAGCCCGGGCCATGGGGAGAGGGGCCAGACCCCTCCCCGCCCTGGGGCTGGAGGGATTGGGTCGGCAGGGGGCCAGCCCGGAAGCCGGCTTCCTTCAGGCTCCCCCTTTCGCTGCTGCCAAGCTGCCTCGCAGCCAGGCAGGCTAGGCGTTTGTTCTGCGCTCCCTGCCGAGGAGATGTGAGGGATTTTCTCTTGGGGAGAAATCACTGGTGGAGTGCCTGCCCAGCTCAAATGCCATCCGGCTCAGAGGGAGGCCTGCGGCCCAGGGACCCCGGAGGGAGAGTAAGTTTATCCAGCTTTGGAACACAGACGACCTTGTGTGTGGGGTCTACCTAGATGAGCTCCGAAGAAGTGTATGGGGGTGGAGGGAGGCTGCTTTTTCCAAGACTCGGCTGGGATCAGAGCTTATAAGTCAGGCTGCAGTGTGCCTAGCCCTCCCCTTGGGAGATGCTGTGTCCCTACATGGAGGGAGAGGAGGGTACTTTACCCAGAGTCCCTCCTGATGGCAGCTGAGGACTAGGGATCTGGATCATCCCAGGGAGGCCCCTGGAGGAGATAGGCCTAGCCCAGCCTGAAGACTTGTTCCCTGGGAAAAAGTGCTTTAAGCTGAGAGGAAGCCTGCCCAGAAAAGGCTAGGAGGCTGAGGGTTAGTTCTCAGGCATGACATCAGAATGGAAGGTGGGCAAAGGGGCTTGTCACTTCCAGAGAGGGAAGCTGCCAGCACCCTCCTAAATTTTGGCACCAGCTTTTCCAAAGCCCTGGTTCCACCTTGCTGCTGTTTTTTCCAGGCAACGTCACACCTCCTGAGGACAGCCAGGAGGACTCCAGCTTTTGCTGAGCTTTGCATCTTGCCTTCTTCCTTCCAAAAGCTCCAGACCCACTCTTGGCTATCCTCGAGCCCTGCATGCCCCTGGCCAGGCACCCCATTACCCCTCCAACCCAGCCCTAGCGCTCACCTCCAGGACCTGGAGTCTGCCCTCCTGCCCAGAATGACTCACCATTATTTCTAGCTCGAGTGAGAAGATGTGATGGGGAGTTGAGCTGCCTGGATTTGTATGTAGGATTCCTGCAGCACCTGATCATCTCTGCAAGGAAGAGCTTCAAGTTCCTGTCTGGCCAGGTAAGTCAAACTATCATTTAATAACAGCCAGGGCAGAATCACTGGGGTGGGGGACAATGAGGAAGACTCAGGCCCAGGATCCCACACCATGACTACCTCCCAGGGTTCACATGTCTGTGAAACATTAGTGCCGTGCCAGGGACTGGTGATATTCTAACATGCTGATAGAGGGTTATGCTCCTGTGTGGTACAGAGGGGCCTGTGCCAGTCACCTTCCCCAGTGCAGGGCATCCTACAGCTTCCTAGAGAGATTGCTACCTGCTGCCCTCTGATCTCCAGACAAATTACAAGGTGATAGTGAACTTTGCTTTTTTGTTGTTGTGGTGGTGGTGGTTGGTAGTCATGTTTCTCAACTTGGCTAAGAGATAGGAGATAAAAAGTGACAACCCAGTTCGGGCTGCCAATGCTGAATGGTCTCATGTCCTTAACTGCCTCTGTCTTTCAGCTAAGTGAGGCTGTCTCTCCAGTTCTCAGAGAGCTCGTGGGGCTCTCCTCCAGAAAGCCCAGGCCAATGCTTCTGTGCTTCCTGGGGCTGTTAGCAGCACCCTGAGCTCCTTGCCACCAGGCAGCTGGAAGGTGTAGCACAAGGCACTTCTCTCAGTCTCAATTATGACAGTGGCCACCGGAGACCCAGCAGACGAGGCTGCAGCCCTCCCTGGGCACCCACAGGACACCTATGACCCAGAGGCAGACCACGAGTGCTGTGAGAGGGTGGTGATCAACATCTCAGGGCTGCGGTTTGAGACCCAGCTAAAGACTTTAGCCCAGTTTCCAGAGACCCTCTTAGGGGACCCAAAGAAGCGAATGAGGTACTTTGACCCCCTCCGAAATGAGTACTTTTTTGATCGAAACCGCCCTAGCTTTGATGCCATTTTGTACTACTACCAATCTGGAGGCCGATTGAGGCGACCTGTGAATGTGCCCTTAGATATATTCTCTGAAGAAATTCGGTTTTATGAGCTGGGAGAAGAAGCAATGGAGATGTTTCGGGAAGATGAAGGCTACATCAAGGAGGAAGAGCGTCCTCTGCCTGAAAATGAGTTTCAGAGACAGGTGTGGCTTCTCTTTGAATACCCAGAGAGCTCAGGGCCTGCCAGGATTATAGCTATTGTATCTGTCATGGTGATTCTGATTTCCATCGTCAGCTTCTGTCTGGAAACATTGCCCATCTTCCGGGATGAGAATGAAGACATGCATGGTGGTGGGGTGACCTTCCACACCTACTCTAACAGTACCATCGGGTACCAGCAGTCCACTTCCTTCACCGACCCTTTTTTCATTGTAGAGACCCTCTGCATCATCTGGTTCTCCTTTGAATTCTTGGTGAGATTCTTTGCCTGTCCCAGCAAAGCTGGCTTCTTCACCAACATCATGAACATCATTGACATTGTGGCCATCATCCCCTACTTCATCACCCTGGGGACGGAACTGGCTGAGAAACCAGAGGACGCTCAGCAGGGTCAGCAGGCCATGTCACTGGCCATCCTCCGCGTCATCCGGTTGGTAAGAGTCTTTAGGATTTTCAAGTTGTCCAGACACTCCAAAGGTCTCCAGATCTTAGGTCAGACCCTCAAAGCCAGCATGAGAGAATTGGGCCTCCTGATTTTCTTCCTCTTCATTGGGGTCATCCTGTTCTCTAGTGCTGTCTATTTTGCAGAGGCTGATGAGCGAGAGTCCCAGTTCCCCAGCATCCCGGATGCCTTCTGGTGGGCAGTCGTCTCCATGACAACTGTAGGCTATGGAGATATGGTTCCAACTACCATTGGGGGAAAAATAGTGGGTTCCCTGTGTGCTATTGCAGGTGTGTTAACCATTGCCTTACCGGTTCCTGTCATTGTATCCAATTTCAACTACTTCTACCACCGGGAGACAGAGGGAGAGGAGCAGGCCCAGTACTTGCAAGTGACAAGCTGTCCAAAGATCCCATCCTCCCCTGACCTAAAGAAAAGTAGAAGTGCCTCTACCATTAGTAAGTCTGATTACATGGAGATCCAGGAGGGGGTAAACAATAGTAATGAGGACTTTAGAGAGGAAAACTTGAAAACAGCCAACTGCACCTTGGCTAACACAAACTATGTGAATATTACCAAAATGTTAACTGATGTCTGACTGAAATCTATTAGCATACTCACAGCTCGGTGGAACTAATGCAGATATTGCATAATAGCCTGCATTATAGTCAGTGTGTTCTACAGTGTGTATCTGGTTCTGCATGGAAAGCAATAGTCGTGCAAGTGACTTTTGATTTTTTGATTTTTGATTTAGAACACAGAATATCTATCACGGCTTTCATGCAAATCCTCATCACTGGCTTATGGGTTTCCAAAGGCAGGAGTCACCTATCAAGCCAGGATTTCAGAAAGACACATTGAGGCCATCTCATATCCAATACACAGTCTACCATGTCATTGCCACTTTTCCTTCTTAATTAAATACACACAACACCCAGAAGGGGCACTCCCTTCCCCCCATCCCACCACCCCATTTGAGCCCACCTGCCCCTTCACAGAAGAACACCATCATGGCTTAGCTTCAAAGCTCTGGTGATAATTCAAAAGGTCATTCCCATTTTTGCATTGAAAAGAACACACAGTCCTGTGTGTTGGAATTACTTTCTGTGTCACAGGCTGGGGTTTGTGAACTGCAGTTGCCAAGTGGATGCTCCGGAGGCTTGTGTTTCGTAACGGAAAATGCTGCATTCTGCTTTTTCTCTGCAGTGTCGATGCGAGGGAAGCCCGGGGGGAGGGATAGTTAGTATGACCGAATATGAGTTGTCAAGTTTTACATTTGTTTTCTTAGGCCTATTGGGTGAAGTTAACGAACCAAGGAACCTCTCAGCTTCAGATTTCACCACTTTTGCAGGCTTCAGGGTCACAAAAACATGTCTGATTTCTTCCTCTATACTGGAGTGTGCAGACATCTGCTTTCCTAGTGATGTGGCCAGCTACACTGACATTGCAGTGAAATTTACCAGTGATGCGATAGAGCTGCATGGGTGTTTGTTGCATGACTCAATATTTAAAACACAGGAGATAACCTATTTTCCTAGTAGCCTACACAGTATTAATATTTAGAGTATTAGTAGCCTTGGAATGGCATTTAACTGTTTTTCCCCCCATTGGAAGGCAAAAGTCTTCCATCAGGAGAAAAAAATAGATGAGAAGGAAACCAAAACTTCTGGCCCCCCCCCCCAGCCCACCCATTCTTGTTCTTCCAAATGGAAGTACAGACCTCTACAAAGCCAGGAGAGTGAGTGGGGAAAGCAACGTCTGAACACCTCACATGAGCGCACCTTAGGAGTTAACCTAGTCGTGGGTGTGACTATACCCTGACCAGGGCATCGGGTCTGTGGATCCAATGTATATAAATATATATCAAGTATCTCTATTTCATGCATTCCTCTACCTAGCTAGCTATAGGAAAAATTGCATTTGAACATTGTATAAGCTTATGCAATATTTTTGACACAGGGCAATTTATGCATGTATTTGACTATGTGCACTAGAGTGTGTGTGTGTATATATATACACACACATATATGTGTGTACATGTGTACATATACACACACACACATATATATATACTCTGGAGTTCAGGTTCAGGAGCAAATCCACTGCTTGGTGGGTTGGCTGTCTGAGAGGCCTAACAGGTTAATGTATCTCATTGGTAACCCCACTGGGCCTGGGTTTGCTGCCATTGCCTCAGACACTCCAGTCTCCATGGATTCCTAGACGTTAGAATTGTCTTTCTGCCCTCCATGTGCTGCAGCTTCAGTTTCCCATGGCTGAAGCTTGTCTTAATGAGTGCACAAGGGCCCCATGGCCCTCACAGTTTCAGCTGTCCTGGGCTGGACCACCCCGGGCCTGCTCTCTGTAGTCCATCTTGTTAACCATCTCCATTCTCATCTTTTCCCACACCATTTGGTTTTTATTATCCCTTGGTCCTACACCTATCTCTTTCCCTAAGGAGCCAGAATGGATGCCCTGCTTTGAAACTAAAAGGAGAAGGACTCCTTGGGACCAAATTCCACTAATCTAGAGGGATAGAGTCCCTAGATGATCCAAAGGTACCATTTTGATTGCCAGATTCAAACCCTGTCCTTATTAAACTGGCAACCAGAGCTGCTTTTAGAAAGAACCAAAGGATGGGCAAAGAATCATCTCCCAACCCCCAGAACAGGTAGAGAGCAAATAAGTACTATATAGCCTAAAGGGGGGAAATGAGTTGTCCTAGGAACGGGTTCCAGGGGGAAGAGGGAGCTTTTACCTCATCCAACTGGGATTCTTTGCCTTTTGACATAGTGGCTTAAATTTCCCAGAAAGTGAATTATAGAGGTCAGGCTGTCCAGTGGGGGCTCCAGCCAAGGTCTCAATGCTGCCTAGTTAGCACTTGAAGTTGTCTTGGGGGGTGGGGCACCAGCTCAGGGTGCTAGGCCCAGGGTGCTCATTAGTTCCTGGTCACCCACATCCCCAGGTGTCTGCAGGATATCCCATGCCCAGCACAAAGCCTCCATGCTTCTCTTCCTCTTCTTCATGGGAGGTGGTGCTGAATTTCCAAGGCATGGGATGGGAGAGACAGAGACTTTGGAAAATTGAAGGTCAAGCTACCCATATCTGAGGCCTAGGTCAGGGAGTAGATATCATGGTGTCCTTTGCCCAACTATAAAATGTTGACACACACACATACACATCCACCACAAATACAAAGATACACTGTTGCCACACACAAATGCAAAACATACAACCTACATGCAAAATACACACAGGTGAAATTAAAGTGCAGACACAGAAATATGTTTGTAACTATAAACAAAATATTCACATTTAGCATAGACACAGAATGTACTTACCAACACAGAACATACACAAAAGACCAACCACATATGGCTCTTCCACATATAAATACACAACCAGCAACTCAGATGCAAGATACACAAAAACTGCATGGACGCAATGGATATGCATACAAAATATACAAAGAATACCTTTGTTTCTCCACATAAAATACATATTCAGTGTATAATGCACGATGAATTCACTTATACTAGGCATACAAGATACAGCACATGCCTAAGAACGCATTCACACACTACACAGGAAATGTGGACATACATCCATCTCTCTGCTCCCACAGTCATAAATTAATGGACACAAATAAAAGGTCAGATTTAATCACCTTTCCCTAGCCTATGTCTGTATCCCTCAATATCTTTCCCAAGGAATCTCTTTCTCTAGTCTCTTCTCTCACCTCCAGATTTCTGTCCCGAGAAGTAATCCATGAGGTTTCGAGGAGAAAGATGAGCCACCATATCAAGCAGATTTCTGCTTGCAAGCAGGAACCTCATGGGGTTTCTACCTATTCATCTTCTTCCCACCAGAAACTCAGGTGCAGGCTGAGAAAGAACCTGGGACAGCTGGCAGGTTGATATAAACCCCTTTGTCATGGCTCTTCCTTCAAAACAAACCCACACAGACCTCACAGTAGCCTAGGGTCCCCTACTTCCAGAACTTAGGATCTTTGAGTTCATCTCTTAAAAGCAGTGATGGTTCAAGAAATTGCAGGATCCTGGGCCCAGAAGCACAGTGAGGATGGTCCCAACATTAAGTCCACAGATCCTATTGCTCCTCCATCCTCAGCAGCTTTATTGTGGGCTGGGTCAGGAAGTCAAGACCCTACAGACTGTCTCTTAAAAGGAGCTACTTTTACTTGCTTGTGGCTCTTCACTTCCGCTTCGGCACAGTGGGATCAACTCCTGCTTCTTTTCTGTGGGTGTTCAGTTCCAGACATGCTGGGGTTCCCTCATGTCCTGCCTCCTGTCCAATTGCTGTGCCTGGAGGAAACAGCAACCCAATTCATCTTAAGTAAAATGTGATTAAGAACATAAACCTCAGACTAAACAAGCAAACAACAGTTTTTAGAAGGTCTAATTTTTGTTGTATATTCTAAGCCCAGACGTAAATGCTTTCTAAGATCGCCCACCGTTTTGGATTCCTCATGGAGGTGGTTCTTCCCACAAGTAGGCGAGCTGAGAGCTGAGTGCGCTTTGGCAAACGCTTCTTCACCTGAAGTGGAAGTTAGGAGTTGTAGTCAGACCTCAGATCAGGCCTCACGGTCCCTGCTCCTATGGCCGTCCCAGGTGTGTCTCCATCTTCCCTCCTAATGAGGGTCACAGCTCCCAGTCCCCACAGAGGAAGCAGTGACCAGCAGGGAAAGGATATGGGTCCAACACTTGTGCGTTTATTGCACACACTTGGACTTGTGTTTCCCAGTCAAGATGCCAATTTTCCCTTTAGCTTCATCAGGTGCCTCCAGGGGCTCAGACTTCCAGAAAATTGGAGTTTTGAGGGGTCTGAAGGAAAGAAGCCCTGGAAGGGTGGAGAGGTTGTCGGGAAGAGAGAGTAACTCAGCTGGCCAAATTAAGAGTTTAATTAAAAACATGATTAAGGCTGTGTGCTTTCTGGAACTTCAGTGATAATTGACAAGCTCTCTTCTTTTCTCTCTAGTTACCTCTGTCCCTCTCAGCTGGGCTTCTGAGGATGGCATTGGCATACCACCAGGAGGTTAGCCTTTTAAAGGGGGTCCCAAGGGAGTGGGCTTCGGGCTCCATTGGCCTAGTGTGGAAAGAGCACCATGAAAGCTGTGATGGCCTGAGCCCTGGGTGTTCATCATGTGGCTGCCTCATGTGTGGAGGGCTTCAGGACTAGCTTGTCCTATCTGTTCTCCCAGGTCCTTCGCTACATTGTAGTGAAGCCTTTGACCAACTTCCTCATGATCAGCCATAAATTATCAGTTGACATATCACATGTCAAAAGAGAACAGCACCCTCTGAAGAGGCTCAGGGTGGGGGCTCAGCACTGCCCACCATAGTGAAGAGAAGTAGAGGCTGACTTTCCCCACAGGACACTATAGAACAGTGTTTAAAATGCATATGGAGGTGGCACCGCTACCCTCCACCCATGGCAGGCTAGGAAGCACAGTGCTTTGACTTGTTTACCCAGGAGAGGGGACGATGGTGCTAAGCTCTGGTCTCCAGGGCTCTCCTGGTGCCCATTGTCATAACCACCTGCATCTGGGTGATGCATGCTTGATCTGAGATGGCTGAATGTCCAGGGTGCTCCTTGGTTACACAATAAAGATTCCCCCAGCCTTGGCAAGGTCTTCATTGCCAGGTTTGAACTCATGACCTAGCCTCACTACCATCATTAGTCACCTGAGCCAACCAGCAGAGAAGTAGATGC